TATAAATATTAAAATATTTAAAACTATTAAATGTTTAAACTGCCGAAATACTAATCGTGAATATTAACACAACAGACGGAAAGTCTATTCCGTGTGGCGGAAACTAGTTATGTATCTCGAAAATTAATAGAAAACACAATTACTTGAACTAATACAACAAGTCCCATCGGCTTATCCTCACTGCTGGGAGTAGTTTGATTACATATCACACAGTCGTACTCCTTTTTACTTGTTAATTTGGTTGTGTTCTCCTCCTGCTCCCAATCCATCGCTGATGCACCTGCTTCGTCTGTTAAAGTAAGAGAACAGTCGTCAGTCGTTACTAAATCAATTAATAATGTTATATTTCAATTTATATATCTCGTTTTATTAGTATTAGTTAATAATAATCATTTACCAGACTTCATTGCTTTTTCCATAAATTGCTTCTGCTTATTGGCAAATTCCGCCATAAGTTTTTGTTGCCTCTCCTTCGCTCTCCGCCGACGTTCCTCCCGTTCGCGGTGTTCCCTCTCACGCTGCTCATCACCCTCACATTCTTGCATACGGGGCCATAGTTTGTCCCTGGTCTCGATGATCGATTGTTTGCACATTGGATCTAGTCCCGATATCTTCCGGAGTAATTGCGATATGAAGAACGTCCCGTCACCTATTCTCGATTCATTGCTCGTCGACGATGACGATGAGGACGGCGACGATGTAGCAGCGGAACCATTATTGCTGCTACTACTGCCCGCCTCATTGTCCGACATTGCACTTAGTTCGGGATTGTAGCTGTCCGGTACGCCTGACAGCTGAGAATGTAGTTTCAACAGCAAAGAGATTATACTTTCCCCCACCTTCACAGTCTGCGATTGTATCGGTCCAATCTGAAAGAAACGTGAGTTTGTCATATAAAAAATAAGATTTTTAAAACATGAACTATAAAGTATGTATAAAATAATTTCTAAAAAAAAATATATATATATATATATATATATATATATATATATATATATATATATATATAGTTGCAAAAATGCTGAATGTGAAGTAAACGTGAATTATGAAATATACAGAATAAAGGTAAAAAAGCGCATAGTATACATTATGGAAATGCAAGATAAAGTATTAGAATATATGTTGATATATTATATTACTATATGAATATATGTTATATTACTTGTGGCTCCCTCCTCTTGTTGAAATGTTTATGAGAACTCGATGTGGATGGAACGATTTCTATTGTTCTATAACTGGGACGAGGCGAATACGCCGATTGTGCTGCGACTATCTCATTTCCGGCCATAACCGCCGGACGCTGAGGAACGGGTGGTAACGCAGGCTGACCACCGACTGTATCTAATTGTTATAAAAAATTTCAAATTGTAATACAAAGTCGAAATATAAGTCGAAATAACTATAATGTTATATTAATGATAAGAATCTGCAACAGAAGAGAAGCGAAAACTGCAAAGAAAATATTAAGAACATACTGTTTGGTGAAGGAGGCGATTCGATGGCAAGAACCATGGAATCCTCTCCGGACGGTGGTTGAGCTCTCCGTAAACCTAGCAGTTCGTCTTCGCCAGACGGTATAGCGACGATTGCATTTTCAGGTACAATAGCCACACTATACTCCACTGTAATATAATTAAAATATCACAATATTACACACATTAGAGCGTTGATAATATACGATGATTAATAATATATTCAAGATGAGTTATTAAAATTTTAAAATAACTTTAAATGAAAGTCTAACATGAATTCTGGATAATTGAAATGATCAAAAATAATAATGATAATAATGACATGAAAATACAACGATTATTTAAAATAATTCTTTACTTGTTACTTACTTATACGGATCTATAATAACAATTAATAACTATCTGATATATGTAACATCTATACACGGGTAATCTATATATTATGTAAATCCCTCTAACCATTAGTTGATGGTAGAGCCGGCAGAGATGTAGCCGTCGCAGTCGACGGTAGAGCTGGCAGAGAAGCGGCGCTCGCAGCTGATGGCAAAGCCGGCAAAGAAGTAGTAGACGTTGCAGCCGACGAGGGTAAAGCGGGCAGAGACGTAGCACTAGATGAGCCATTGTCGTCTCTCACAGACGGTAGTCCCAGCAGCTCTAAAGAACCCTCTTCCGCACCGTCTTCCACGTTGTTTAGCATCAGAGACGTCGCTACCTCAATCATCTCTCCCTGCACCTCCCACTCGAACTCACCTGGTCGAATAATATGCCTTACTGCATATAATATATTAATATGTATTAGTGGAAATTAAGTTCATACGATAATATAAATTCTAATGAGAAAAATTATACTTTGGTGGCAGCAACATTTGTCAGAATCGTCAATAGCTGGCCAGATAAATTTATCGTTAATGTTTCATTGATATGGAACATCATATGGTAGTTTGAGAAGTACTCACTGTCTGAGCTGTTTGATTCCGACTCTTGGACTAGATTCACTCGGGGTATCACTGTTCTCAAATTCTCGGACAAATTATCGCTCTCATACCAGCCAATTAGATCCATGTCTTTTATTACACGAGAACTGCCGCCAGTGTACTGACATAAAGGATTTATCTAAGAAATAATTATTTTATCATGTAGATTGTTCGCACACGATATTTATCCGTAGAATGTGAAAAACAAAAAACGGTTTGTTTCACTCACAGATTTATCCGGCGTTTCTGCGGTGATCACCGCCATTTCCAGTAAATAAATGGCTAATGCCATAATATGCTCCGATATGTTGTGCTCGTTCACAGCCTTGTAAAGTATTATCAGAATCATAGCGTGAAAGACTCGAGTACGCAAGACTATCCGAGGATCGTCATAGTCTGATGACACTGGAGCGGGATGTCTGAATGGTGGCCAAGGAGTCGCACTGCTCTTTAGCTTCCCCGATTGTTTAACACTAAAATACAGAAAATTTTAAACTTATACACATGAGATATATAAAATTTATAAATTCGGTAAAGTCAGAAAATTTTACATATAAAGCTAAAATTTTAATTAGCTATATATGTATTAAATTATATAGATATATATTAGAGATCATCATATTAAAAACAAAAGTAGATACTATGTTCTTTTCTTTTCGCAGAGATCTATGAGATTCGGCGATAAAATCAAGACATACTATTCTGTGAAACGATCCATTGATATTTGGAAGTCTCTTCTGTGTACCGCTCTTAACAAAACATGCAAAGGATCGAATAACTCATCCCACACGTGAGGTTTCGGCCCGTACATTCCTTGTTGCATATTGCCACTCGCCTCAAGATTCGGAGCTCTGTACTGTGCAACCTGTAAAATACGTTATGCTCTATTAAGCATGTAAGAATAATAACCTCTACATAAATCAGATATATCAAACAACTTAATACAGGTTTTCTATAAAGAGAAGTTATGCTATTATTATTAGTATATTACTAAAATTCAACATGCAAGACCAATTAAAAGTTTAATATATAAAATTCAAATTAAAATGTGTGAAATAAAATAAAGATTAAAGATTAAAACGAGACTTTTGTACAAGTAGGCTCTATCGATGAACGTACATCAGCCAAGACAGATTCAAAGTCTCTGTTTTGAGTGGTCCCACAACGTTCCGGCATCAACTCCATTAACTGGCTATGCGTTTTATCGCCCATACATAACAGAGTTACCATCTCGAGGCATGACATTTCAGCATCAGATAAACCTAAAGAGAAAAGAGAAAAAATCTCACTCGCACTGAGATTCACAGAGATTCTCACACAACGATATTAATAAGTAAAGGTAATTATTATCAATTATCTTAATTGTTCGTTCCATCTGTGTGATATATATTACTGTAATCGAGCATCTGTCTTAAGACCAAATCTGTCCAAGAACAAATAAAAAATAAAAATCAGAGGAATGCGATTGTAAAAACTTACCAAGATTTGTTCTCACATTGATTAGTGTAGCTAAGAATGTCAGGCAGCTTTCTAACATTGGGGTTCTATTCTCATTTTCATTCTCCGGATAGTCATTCTGTGGTGCACGGTACAAGCAAACACTCAACCATTCTCTCACGTGAAACCTGTAAATTTCGTTTTAATATCGTATATTTACATCGTATACTTTTAAAAATACTTTAGACTCTACATCGACGACTTTTCAAGAGTGAACGTTGGATAACGAACGGAATAATTATCCTGGGATAAAAGCAGGAAACTGCAGAACAACTTACTTTTCGATGATAGTCTTGACAAAAACATCTGCCGGTAATTTCGTGGCACAAATTTGCAACAGATACAAATCTGCGTCCACCATGGAGTTGCAGAAATTGCATTGGATGTAAGTCATAGCTTGTCCTTTTATTTGTAATCCGTTACGAACCCACATTCCGTTTAGAATTTCATAGAAAGCCACCTGAGAACAGAAATTAAAAGATACCATTATTTTACTGTACATGATGATCTGAAACAAGAATCAAAAGACTCCGGAGTACACAACACTCGCAAGAATAGGCATAAAGTTTTATCTGTAATAATATTTATAAGAACCGGTTTTTCAATAATAGTTTAAACTTAGATATCAACTTAAACTCAGTTTAAACAAAACAAACGCATTGTTAGAATAAAGTTTAAACTGGAATTAAAGTTTACTGATATTAAAAAACCGGCCCTAACTGTATGAACTGATACTATATTTTATAGTGATTTTATCGTTAACAAAAAAACAAGATATGTAAAACGGTCGGATTAAAAATCACGAGTTTATATAAGAAGAGTCGTGTAAAAAATTACAAGTTGTTTTCCTAAAAATTCTCTTCGTAATAATAACGAAATTCTCTTTTATTGTTTCAGACTTCACCAGAATCTTTTACGTGAATATGTAGAATGCTGCTTAAGAAGCGTGTATCTTCGCGCTTATTCACGTAATTACATGGTTTAACTGCCTTATAGAAGACAAGATGAATCGGTGAGTCGCGTGTCATAAGCTCCTCTTGTAAAATTGATTCTAACAAATATGGCAAACGGTAGTCAGTAGTGGACACAAGTCATATTCATATATATGAATCTCTTAATTATTCTTTTCTTTTCTTTTTATACGAATTTTTGTGTCATTGCAATATTGGCTCAGCATGTACGATTAAAGTTGTCCTATGTTTATCATCATTTGGGATTGGCGGAAGAATTTACACCTTGGCAGAAAACAGAAAGGCAGCAGCTAATTAGGACATGCGCCGATAGAAAAGCAAGAACTATCGACTATCACCTGACTATTAGCGCGAATTCGGATTCTTTTGTCTTCCTGCTTTTCTGTGCCAAGATGTGAATTCTCCTTTAAGTTTCCTGGTCCCTTGCCGCGAAACTCTAGACGACATCAGAAGCGAGAAAATGCACGTTCAAAATTTTGAAGTAAAAACATATTTGTATAAAAGAGCACTTTAGATCGTTTGAGCATACTTGCGAAAGGCTTCGGAAATGATCCTTTTTCCTCGACAGTCAATAAATAGTCGTAAAATTAATGACGTGCAACTTTTCTCTTCTGCCTTTTCTCCTGATTTTGTCACGTTAATTTCACGACTACTTAATGACTACCAAGGGAAAAGAATGCTTTTCGGAGCATTTTGCAAGTATGTTCAAGTGATCTGAAGTGTCCTTTCGTTCAAGTGTCTTTTTATTTGAAAATAGCACGCAGAAATTTTTAGCGTGTGACCATTTCTCGTCTCTGACGTCACGATCCAACATGGTTGCGACGAATATCCAGAAGTAAAAAAAAATCTACACAATATTTATGATTTCCTTCTGTATATGTTCTCCCACTACCAGGGCGCTTCCCGCATCACCAGAGTTTCGCCCGTCTCGAGGAGAAGGCACACCACCACCCGATTCAATTCATATCCGCGATACAACGTTTCCCCTTCTCGCTCGTTGATCCATCAGTTATTCGCAGCCCGTTACTGGTCGTCCCATTCGAAGCGACAACCGACGCGGAGACAAAGAGTAGGAGAGCCAGCCGTTAGTCTCGACTTGGCGCGTCAGCGTCGCGTCGCGTCGTTCGTCGGCTACGGACCTCGACATTTCGGGCCCTACGTCCGTATAATCTCGCGTTCCTTGCCGTTTTAATCTTCCAGATGGCCAAGTTACGCGTACACGTGATTTTGCTGGTCGTCCTGGCGTCTTGGACGCGACCCGGATGCGCCTTCGACATCAACCTGTACGATGCTATTGATCTGATCAGGCTGGGTCGCGAGACTGTGATGGAATTGATGGAATCCTGGGATATGATCCGCTCGCATGGTCCAACCGCTGCGATCGAGGGCGCCGGGCAGGATTATATGTTTGTTAAAAGGATGGAGAAAGAGCTGCGTCAGCGTATCGATCGGGTGGCCAAGAAGATCGACGACTATCAGGAGCGCATGGAAATCAAAATCAACACGGTCCTCTCGCAGCTGCTGCTGCAGCTGCCGATGCAGCGCAGACTCGACGACAGTCTGAGATCGCTGGAACAGTACGTCGGCCAAGTGCATGGTCTGTACGACACATTCGAGTTGTACGCCAGCGGTCCAAACAACTTCGAGACTTTCACGATAATACGGTTCGCCAAATCATGCGTGTCGCCCAGATTGGGCGAACTCCCGGATGTTCTGAAATCTATTCACAGGCTCATAGTGCCATCCGACTATCAGGTGTACAACAGGAGTATCTTGGTGCTCTTGGCGAATCAGATGCAGGTATGTCGTGTAGTGGTATGTAGTAATATGTGTGTTGCGTGAAGGAAAAGGTGCGGTTTCTTAGCTAGAAAGATGACTGGGTCGCTGCTGGTCAAATTGATGTCGGGCAGCTCGGTAGAGAGTGAATAAAGAAACGATTCTTGTTTTACGTTTTTTTTCGAGTAGTCTAGAAAAGAGCTTTAAAGCGAGTTCCTTTGCTCAAGGGGATCGAAATAACTTCGGATCATTGACGCGAGGCGTTATCAAAGTCTTGCAGAGACTAATAAGATTCTGCATATTGACATTAATCATTTATTAGAATATATATCACTGTAATATATCATTGATATCAATGGGATTGATTAAAATTTTTTCCTATTGATATTTTAGCGATGCTGGCTGAAGCTCTGTTGATATTTTAAAATGTCATTATATAATTTTACTCACTTGACTCCTAGTTGAAAATGAAGCTTGTAGTGGCTTGCTGGAAGTTGATGGGTCACTTGGAGCGTTCGGGAGAAGTCCAAATAGACCATAACCAGTTTCTAACAAGCTACGCTTTATTTTCAACTGAGATACAGTGGAAACTGATTTTAATCAGAAAGATTCGCTGACATGTATGAGTAACACAATTTCGTGTTCACAGACACCCTTTGATGCGTCATATCTGAGACTTTCACTCGTTCCTATATATTTTACAGAGAAATCTTTGTTTAAAATCATGATGGATACAAAACGACAACATTACATAATGTTGAATTTCAATCTAAATCAATATGAATGAGTAAAATAATGATCTACATTGAAATTCGGACTGAAATATAATCTTATCGTTTTGTATTCATTATTTTAAGCAGGGATATTCTTTCACTTGTAAAAATATGCACGTATGATATATAAATAAATTTTGCATGCCACCCTCTTATCGTCAGTTGAAAGATTGCAAGCGCGAGGAAACTGTCGTTCCAACGTGTAAAACATTCAATTACACTAATTGTTGATTGTTTTGCTATTATACTACTATGTCCAAAAAGTAAGACCAATTTTCAAGTTAAATTGCGCCGGTATATCGAATGTCAGAAATATTTTTGTTCTAAATTGGTAGCACTGTGACAGACATCGGTGTCAAATTATGCATTGTTTGCGTGAAACTATTCGCAAAAAAAGCTGAATCGAAGAAAGCTTTGAAGGCCATTCCGGAAATCGACTTTTTGAGAGTTGGAAAAAACGTTGGCATAAGTGTATTGTGTCTGAGGGGGATTACTTTGAAGGCGACGAAATAGATTTGGAATAATAAATAAAGATTTAAAAAAAAATTTTAAATTGGTCTTACTTTTTAGACATAGTAGTATTTTCTAGTTATGTCTATAAAGTAAATGCCCGGATATGCACTCATCTCCGGACATTGTTATTATTTTTATATTTGAATATGAATATTTAAACTTTCAACGTATAATACATACATATTGGTATACATACATTTAATATTTATATTTAGTGTACGTTGAAAGATGAAATATTTAGAGAAATATTCAAAATAATAAGAGTATCCGGAATTAGGTACATGTCCGGGCATTGGTACATTTATCTTATCCATATATTATCGATTTTTTCTATTTTATAATAGCGCTTGATGCTCCTCGCATAATTTTTTATCAATTGTTATACTTTAAATCGTTTAGTTCTCACATTCTTTACTCATTTACGTCATATTACGTATATTACGTTTATTATTACGTTTTATATTACGTTTATTATCAATTATCACATTGTTTCATATTACGTTTGTTATCAATCATTTCGCTTGCATCGATATCTTGTTTATTGTTTATTTAATGTGATTTAACTTGAGAGGCAGTGGCGTTAGTGAGTGTGCGATAATGAGGCATGACTGCATGAGATAAAGGTTCGCTCGTAGACAATATTCCATGAACACAATAAACAAAGAGTTTGTCGCAGAGCCGTTATCTCCAGGCTTTCTGCGAAAACTGTATAAGTCCGTGGACTTAAAAATGTGTACCATAATATTACACAAAAATCAGTCATCAGTCATAGTGTTGTCCATCCTGTCGTCGTTGTCAAGAAGTGTACAATCTATTCTGTCCAAATTCGTCTGGACTTATCTGTTTTTCTGGAATATGTGTGACTCTGCTCGGAAAATTAAAAATATATGATTTATTTTACGGACGAGCGCGAGAACGCGTTTTACTTGTTGAATTGACAAGCAAGCCGGGGATCCAGTGTTACGAGCATGCTCTGATAATATCGTAACAGGAACCCCATTGTCTCTATTAAGCACGAACGGGCATTAGGTGTTGGAGAAATGGTATCACACTCGGAATCAAGTGACATCAGTCTCAGTTCGGCCCGGTTGGTTCATGATTTTACTCGCGATCTCTCATCCTTGATCACGGAAAAAAAACAAGACACGTGCCGTGCAACGGAAATTCGCAATTTTTCGATACTCCGGATATTCCGGCAGTCACGATGAATAACACGAATTTGCAAATTCGCGGAAGTCGCCCGATTAATTGAAGCTGTCGCTAGTTGATATACAGAGCGGCCGAAAAACGCTGTGCGTTCCCGCACGGATTTACGTTTCTTGATCGACATTATTTTTGAGTAACCAAGGTGACGATAGTAATTAGATTCTCAGTGCGATTGAAGACTTTGTGACGTCCAAACTTCTGTAGAGCTTCAACTCGAAACTCAGTCGCGAAGATACGTAGTGCTGGAAACCGAATAATTTCAGTAAGAAAAGAAAGCTAAGAGAACGACAGACTTGAAATTACTCAAAGTCCAAAATACGTCGTTAGAAAGGAATTTGTTATTTCCACGAAAATTTCGTTAGAAACTTGTTTATTATACAGGGTGACCCACGTAAAGTGTTACAAGCTAATAACTTTAAACATATTTGTCCTATCAAAAAGTTGTTCGTGAGAAAGTTCGCGGGACTCCCTATACAATGTTACACATTTGGATTCTATGGGAAAAAAACAAGTAAACTTTGTCTGAAACATTTCTTTGGAAAATGCTCCTGTCAAAAGTTATAAACATTTAAACTTTAACGTAGAGTGCATTGAAATTAATGATAAATTAAATAAGACTCATAGTTTTTCTGTCTTGTTTTATTTTATTAAATGTTCGAACTGTCGAATAGTCCAAAGGTGTAAAATGAGGTGAACGATTTTTAGTGTTTAATATTATTTTGTAAAAAAAAGATGGGATATAAAACCAAAATTACTTTAAAAAAAAGTAAAAAAAAGAAGCCAAGTGTACGCGCGTTAGCATTATTTGTCTTTACAAAAAAAATCGTTATAAATAAACTTTACAAAAAAATTATTTTTATTAATTTAAGTTTAAATGTTTATAACTTTTGATAGGAGCATTTTTTAAAGAAATGTTTCAGACAAAGTTTACTTGTTTTTTTCCGTAAAATCCAAATATGTAATATTATATAGGAGGTCCTATTTGAAACTTTGAAGTTACTCCCCGCTTCAAGGGGGGACGGAAATGCATTTTTGTTTACGTAGTTAGAAAAGTCCCTCAAATATATGAAACTTTCTTATGAACAACTTTTTGATAGGACAAATATGTTTAGAGTTATTAGCTTGTAACACTTTATGTGGGCCACCCTATATATTTCCACGAAAATTTACCGATCAGAGTGAATATTTCGCTGAACTTTCGAAAAATGTGCTGAAGTTGCGCTAAAAGTTCAACGAAATATTCGTAATATTCTCCTTGCATAGTCGCGACAATAATTTGTGTCAATTTGTCATATTTAAAATTGTTTTGTGCTCTTACTTCTCAATCAAAAAATAGGAAAAAGGGCAATTCGAGTTCAAGCACAGGACTAGTAGTGCTATATACCATATGGGTAAAAACCTTCCTTGTGTTAGGAAATCGTGTAATATTTACTGATGGGTTCATGGTTGAGCCGAAACGTATGATTATTTTATATTGATTATTCATGTTCAATAAATATTACACGATTTTCTAACACAAGGAAGGTTTTTACCCATATGGTATATAGCACTACTAGTCCTGTGCTTGAACTCGAATTGCCCTTTTTCCTATTTTTTGATTGAGAAGTAAGAGCACAAAACAATTTTAAATATGACAAATTGACACAAATTATTGTCGCGACTATGCAAGGAGAATATTACGAATATTTCGTTGAACTTTTAGCGCAACTTCAGCACATTTTTCGAAAGTTCAGCGAAATATTCACTCTGATCGGT